GTTTTTTTTATTAATATGAGGAATAAGAAGAAGATCTGTGTTCTGTGATCTAAGTGGGTGACTTGGATTGTATACATTAATCTGCTCCATTAAATAGATAGCTGCCTGACTATTGAGAGCCTTATAACTAAGTAAAATAATTTTGAAGTCTGCCCTGAACCTAACAAGAAGCCAATGGAGAGAGCTATGTGGTCGTACTTTCTACTCCTGGTAACAATTCTAGCTGCTGAGTTTTGAATTTGCTGTAAGGTGTTGAAGGTATGATAGTGCCGATAGTAGGGCATTACAGTAATTTAATCTGCTGTATGCAAAAGCATGTATTAGTTTCTCTATGTCTTGAGTGGAAGGAAAATACCTTCGTTTTACAATGGTTCTTAACTGTAGGAAGTACACCTTTGATACTGCATTAACGTGAGAGTTAAATTATATAATGATTCCTAAATTACTGTATGTGCCGCATCTTTGAGGCAAAATCCCTCTTCTCTTTGTGGTCATTTTGGTTTGGTCTATTTTCAGTAATTTAACCATGATATCCTACTTTCTTGTCTTGAGATTTTGTTTGGAATTTCTAATGCTGCTCTTAAAAGGATCAAGTCTTACCTCACTGATCGCTGTCACTGTGTCTCTCTTGGATGTTTTAGCTCTGAAATTCATCTAGTTACAGTAAGTCTGATATTCCTCAGAGCTTGATACTGAGCCCCCTACTTTTCAGTTTTTACATGTTTGCACTTAGTGAGCTATTAATCTCATATGGTCTAATGTGGCTTTCTCTGCTCTCTAACTGCATCTCTACCATAAAAACATGAATGACTCAAAATTTCCATCTAAACTGTGACAAGACTGATGTCATGCTTATCAATTGCCCCATCAGCTATCTAAAGCCAATGCAGTTACCCCATCTGTGCATGGTACTATACTTGAGCCTCAGTAAAACTGAAGAACTTGAGGTGATATTTAATCCAGGGTTAACATTTGACCCAAATGTGAAACATATTAACAAAACATCTTTCTTCCAACTCAGAAATATTGCCAGAAAACATCCATGTCACTAATTGTTGCTAAAAATCAACAGCTTTTCCTAAATTAACTACTGTAACAGTCTACACATTGGGGTATCAAAACTACACTATGTCCAGAATTCGGTAGCCAAAATCTTGACCAGGTCTAGTGGAAGTGATCACATTACTCCTGTCCTAGAGTCCTTGCCCTGGCTTCCTGTCAAGTTTTGTGTCGACTTCAAAATAATCAGCTCACTTATAAGGCTCTGCATGGCTAAGCACCTCAGTACCTGTGTGAGCTACTATCGTCGTATTCCCCACCTCCAGCCTTCGTTCTTCAAATTGTGGTCTCCTCTTTGTCCCTCTAGCTTGTGAACATTCTATGGATGACAGGGCCTTATCCTGGCATGCCCCAAAACTCTGGAAGTCTATCCCAAAGGCCATGAGAGTCATCTTCCTTGAGTTGTTTCAAATCAAGACTCAAAACCTTCTTTTTTAGAAAGGCTTTTACTTAACTGGTTCTGGTGCCATTAAGCTCCTACTTTATTCCATCCCCCCTTCTACTACCTCCTCTCATTTTTATTGTGTATATTTAATGGTTTTATTTGTTGTACTCTACAGTACAGTAAAGGTACTATATAAAAATAAAATTCATTATTATTAACATTTTATTGACTATACCTTGCTAAATGTCCTTACTAAATGTTTTCCTTGCAGTGTACAATGTCAGTCATAGGTCATAAACAAATATTTCAGAGACAAAAAATGTTCTTACTGTTGAATAGAAAAATACGAATGTGCTAAGAAAAGAACATAAAGAAAAGAACATGTTTGTCTCCTAGATCCCAAAAATGCGATATAGGTTACTAGTGGCTAAAATTGATAAAAAAGTTATATATATTGTAAGATCTTACAAAATCTTTAAAATAGGTGATTTCAGAAAAACAAAAACCCCAATACAAACCACAAGGTTCAAAAACTTTGTTCTTTTATTTGTAGTGCAGGAGACTAAACCCTAGAATCCATTCTGAGACTCAAAACTCAGTTTCATGGTTAGTTGCTTCTTTCTCCCTTCCCCCTGGTGAGTGTGCACTGCAGAAGATATGCCCTATGTCTCCATACAGCAGAATGACCTCCAGGTCCTGCTTTTTAAACATTCACCAGACCAATTGTCTTCAAGCAACTCATTCCCACAGGGGTTTCAGCATAATGTGGTTTAAACAAGGTTACCATGTTGTCTGGACTGAATGTGCTCTTACATATAGGTAGGCCAAAACAGACAGTTGTTCATAATACAGACAGCTGTTGTGGCATGTGTCCATTACCTTAAAACAGACTCATTCCCAATGTTAAAGTTCTTAACTTACTGTTTGTCAACCAGCAACAATTTGACTGTCAGATAAAACTAAAATTCCAAGTCACCTAACTTGGAATTTTAGCACACATCAGAGCATTAGAGCAGATCTGAATATTAATACTGTATGTTTGCTATAGGGCATCTGACCATAGTTCTCTCAATTAGAGATGATTTCACTTATATACTTAGAGTTCACTGGTATACTGTAGTTCAAAACTAATACCTTTAAGCTTTGGATTGCAATAAATAGTAGGAGACAACAAAATAGTATAATTTACTGTCACTAAAAAAACAGTAGCATTGTGGAGAGAATGGGAACATTTTTTTTTAATTTAACATAAAGGCAATAAATACCAGCTAAATTCTCCAATTTTAGAAACTCACAATCATTTGAGAAAGAATTAAGAAATTAATTGGCAAAATAAATAAACCTCTATTTATTGCCTCTTATTAACAGCAGTGGTATTTTTACATAATTTATTAATTTTCTGTTGAACTTATCAGTCTGTGGCCATGATTTGTAAAGTAATGGACTGGGGGTTACATGTATTCATGATCTGAACGTATTAGTAAAGTGGTCAGCAATGTGCTGTATACAGTATATATATATTTGACACTTGAAGAAGGATCCACAGCTTAAACATTGTGTTTATTTTGTTCAGCATGGAATAAAACTTTATTTGTTCCTTTATATTCTAGTTTGCTGTATGTCTTCCACTTTAATCTTTCAATCTTGTTCCTGAAATTTTCTCTCTTTAGTCGGAAAAACACACATACACTTTCTTTTAAGAAACAGTTGTTTTAACAGTGGAGGTCTGTTGTAGATTTATTTTTCTATCACTATAGGCTACAGGACCATGACCTATAAAGCATTGTGCCACACAGAATGCCTCCAGTGTTAAAACAGTGTATAAATTATTTGCTGGGAACCAAGATATAGGATAAAATGTTTGGTTGGTCTTGTAACCATAAGGCTAAAATGAAGAAATAGAAAAAGAATAATAAAAATAAAGCAGCGTGTATTTTCAAATGAATTATGGTATATAACATGGAGTTTGCTGCACTGGAAATATCACCAATAACCCCATCTGACAAAAACATATTTATCAATTCTTTCTCCAACACTGCAAAGAAATACGTGTGTTGAAAGTGTCAAATTATTGCAAGAGAGATTTACTTTAGCCCATTATAGGCCTTTTATGTGTTTGTTTTTGTTTTAAAGTTAATCATAGCCTCAGAGAAATACATTCCTGTGGGTAAAGAAAGATTCTTTTTTGTTTTCATTTGACAAATACAAAGAAATCTGGAAGCAAAAACACTAGGGGGACTTTTAATTTAGCTTGCAGGTTACTATGAAACTGAAAGTTTTAACATCTTCCACGGGTCCCTACTTGGTAAATAGACCATGATAACCCTTTTGATATTGTTATACTAAAGATGCTTTTAGGTTATAATCCATTCATCCTGTATCAGAAAGCTGCTTCTTCCTGATAAGGGTAGCAGCAAGCTGGAGCCTATCCTGGAAGCATAGTGTATAAAGCAGGACTACACCCTTGATGGTATGCCAGTTCAT